TATGTCTGGCCATTAATGTGGAGGTTTGACAAGTCACTGTGCAGAATCCTTCTGGAAATGAGAGTTCTATGGCACACTTGGAATGACACAATCTCAGGATTCTGTATTTATTCCAGCATCGAGTGCATATACATTGGGTGTCTGCTAGGTATTGTCATCTGTGCTAGGCACTGGTGACAAAAAAGTGAATGCTATAGTTACAGTCGCTCCTCAAAGATAGTCACACTTTAGAGAAATTTTCATTTTTTATTTTTAAAAATGCAGATTCCCTTGGCCTTCCCCAGACCCATTGTCTCAAAGTTTCCTGGAGGTGGGACCCAGTAATTTGCATTTGTAAAAGATATCCAGTGATCCTTTTGTCTATAAAGTTAGAAAACTGCTGAACTAGAACATTGCAAAACTGTTTATTCACCTGGTAACAGAAAATGAGAATAGCAGCTGGGTGCAGGACAAACTAAATATTCTTACTATAGTGATTTTCACAGTAAGTGTATGACTTAGAGCCCTTGGAGAAGATCTAATCAATAGAGACAAGTGTTGGGTGAGGACTGAATTTGGCTGTGGGAAACATTAAGTTTCTACTGTGGAGATCACTTGGGAATATCATTGAAATTCTTATTTTTTTTACATTTTTATTTTTTTTTATTTATTTATTTGATTAATTAAATCTTTATTGTTCAGATTATTACAGTTGTTCCTCTTTTTTACCCCCATAGCTCCCCTCCACCCAGTTCCCACCCCACCCTCCTCCCTCCCTCCCCACCCACTGTCCTCATCCAGAGGTGCACGATTTTTGTCCAGTCTCTTCCCACATCCCCCACACCCCTTTCCCCCGCAAGAATAGTCAGTCCACTCCCTTTCTATGCCCCTGATTCTATTATAATCACCAGTTCATTCTGTTCATCAGATTATTCACTTGATTTTCAGATTCATTTGTTGATAGGTGTGTATTTGTTGTTCAAAATTTGTATCTTTACCCTTGTCTTCTTCTTCCTCTTCTTCATGGATACCTTTCAGC